TTACCCTCCTAGATGCCCAAATGTATGAAAGGTAGAATCTTGGAGACAACTCTTGAAGATTTGACAAAGCTTCAACTTGGCTTGGAAGAAAAACTATCTACCTTTTTAGAGAGAAGATAGAGCTAGAGTTTGGAAAGTGTAAGGAGAGAAATGAGGGTTGTCTACTAGGTTAGCTTGCATTACTAACACAAGGTGAAAAGTCATGAATACCCTTACTAACATAAAGAGGTGTAAGGGAACAAGGGAACTCCTCTCAAAGCTCAAGGTACAACTTTGACTTTGGGGTTGACTAGTCAATTACTAGTCCCCGACTATTGAATTTTCAGGATTTTTAGGAATTAAAATACCAATTGGTTTAGGATTAATTACTTAATTAATCCCATAATGGAATTTGGATTACGGGGTGTCACATTTCATGTATCCCTTCTAAAACCTTACAAGGGTGGTGCTACTGATACTTCCCATTCCTCTATGCCAATGGATTTCCTTCAAGATGCCTCGCCGATGCCGTTAAAGATTATTGACTCACGCTCTGTCCTTCACAGAGGGTCACTTGAAGATCAAGTTCTAGTCCATTGGGCTGATTTACCGCCTGAGGAGGCTATTTGGGTACCTACAGCAGTGCTTTCTGATCTCTTCCCAGGTTTCCACCTTGAGGACAAGGTGACTTCTACCGGTGGGGGTTTTGATACACCACTATCACATACTGCCATGAATGATACTACTACCATGCATACCAAGGGTGGTGATATTGCAGTACGTGGACTCAGTAGAGACAGGCCAAGGAGAACGTGTAAATTGCCGGCTTATCTTGCTGATTATTCACATCCACTAGTCTAGTTTGATCCTACTTTTAAGCTTAGTAGTTATTTTGCATGTTATAAAAAGCTCTATAATAAGAAGCATGAGACATGAATGAAATACAGTATTCTTGAATATTTAGTTTCTTTGGAGTTAGTTCTTACTCGAAAAGAACGATCGATACGTTTGCGGGGCGATCGTATCAAGTTTCCATAGAACCTAGTAAATCTCCAAGGGGTATTGCAATTTGCCAGAGTAACCATTGTGTCAATGTGATTTTTTAAATAACTCATAATATTAACTATCATGTCCTCTTCTCAAAGGAGGGCCAAACCTCTGCTTTCATCGAGACTGCCAACAGTAAATAGACCAGAGAAGTTTAATTTATTTCTAAGGGCATTTCTAATAGGGGATTCATCATCAATTTTTGGAATAGTAAAATCCCCTTGGGTTTGACCATTTGGAAGGGAAGTTTTTGACAAAATTTATCTCCTGCAAATGAGAAGTTCATGTCATAATTTTAAACCCCCAAGCTTGGCAGTGTGGTCCCACCATACACCTTCTCTTATGTTCCCTTTCCCCATAAATCAAAATAGAGAGATAAAATGGTGGGTCCACAAAAAGTTATGAATTTTTTTTTTTTGAAAACCTGTTATGAAAAAACTTAAAACTAATGGAAGAAGAGTTTTGTAATTGAGTGAGATAGTGGATGTTGGGGCCCACAAAAATCTGAAAAAAAAATCTCCAACTATTGAAGATGCCCTAATGGTTTGCATTCTATTGCTATTGTCTCATGTTTCCCTTAAAAAAAACAAGAATGAGCCTCTTAGAGTGGACCATCTCCACTAGAGCTTGAACTGTCGTTTGGTTCCCAAGATCATGATAATTTCAAGAAATGCAACTCATTTTGTTGGGCGGGCCTGAGAACTAGATCCCGCCTGATCCTATGTTATTATTCACAATCTATCATCTAAGAACAAACTGAACTGTCCACAATTTAGCATATTCTTTTTAATACACGAAATTGTCAAGTCATTCAATCTTTTTTCTGACATTGATGAGCATGCAATAGTGACTTTATGAATTAACAATAATGTTCTGTTCAGTTCAGTTGTGCGCAGTGCGCATCGGTCTAGCCTATGTGGTTCATGTTCAGTTGAGTTACCATGATTTACATCCTCCCAAATGCTCTGTCGGGTCGGGGTGTGTGGGGCCCTTAGAGTTGGGGTTCAGCCTTTTGGAAGAATGAATTAACAATAATAAATCAACAATTAATAATGACTTAATGAAACTGTACATAGTGACTATAAACCAACAATAATAACTTTTCACAAAACATTAAAATCTGATCTTACAGTCTAGGGAAAAACTAGTACAAACCACAAGCCCTCCACCAAAAAAAAAAAAAACAAAACAAAAACAAAAACAAAACAAAACAAAAAAGGGAAAAAAAAAAGTATCAAGCTTGTACTAGTGAAGAAAACATTGTAAACGTACTACAAATCCAATTACAGCTAAAGTAGTACGTACATATCACAAACCACAATAATATTGAAATCTATTAAAAAGAAAACATTGTAAACCACAAATCCATCTTGATTACATAAATGTTCTTCTCGAAACTCTGCAAGAAATAAAAACCATATCAGTAAGACATGCATGACATATGTATTGCAAAAAGCATATATCTCCAGTTTTCCACTGGAAATTAAAAGCTAGTGCTCGAAAATCAGAAACATATATAGATGAGCCTATCTAGGTTTTATTTTGTGAAGACAAGGTATAAATTAAATGCTTCATTGTTCAGTGAATTCATATTCAAGGTTGAAAAAGCTCCTCCAATCTAAGCAAATCAATATAACATGTGTGCATATATATAGGATGAGGGATCATATGAGATCAGAACTTGTTCTTCGGAGAAGATTAAGAATCAATTTTACTCCTCTATCTGGAAAACTCTAACGAATGTAATGCAATGAGCTGAGAGAGAAAAATGTGATGGCAGTTTGATAAATAATTTGAACTTTTAAATGCACTTTGCGATACTACATAGTACAATTTGTAATAATATTATAGAGTTTATTGTACCTCATGTAGAAGTGTAGTGCACTTAGGGTTCATCCTTTAGAGTTTATGATTTAGTTTTGTTAGTTTCACCATTTTAAATTTTGGTTTAGGGATTTAGTTTTTTTTTTTTTTTTTTTTTTTTTTTTTTTTTTGTAGTTTCTCCATTTAAATTTTGGTTTAGGGATATGTGTGTACACACACACGCACTTGATCTAAGGCTGAGATTTATCTGAATGTTTCACCTGCGTCATTCATCGCACTAGAACCACTTCATATATATATTTGGTTTAAATATAATTTTTACTTTTATATATGTCCAATAATATATGTAAGATTTTTGCATTTAATATCCAAACCAACTTTATATTTTTATATAACATACCTAAAGATATATATATGAACCAATAACCTATTAAGTTCAACTAAAATTTAGTTTAGATAATATTAATATTTTTTTGAGCTAATATTTAAAATATTCTTAGATATATTCATTTGAATGACATGTATATAAATATATAATTTTTAGTTTGAATTCTAATATAGTAATATACGCAATATTTGATATCCGGACTAAATTTATATTACGATATAACATAACTAAAAATATTCGAACCAATAATTAATTGAGTTCAATCAAAATATAAAAATATTCAAACCTAATGCAAGTTTAAAAGATAGAAAATGGTAATAAGTAAAAGAAGATGATAATGAGTGTAATCATAGTAATGAATAAATTTATGTAAGTTGATAATCGTGAGAATGTTGTTATAGTGTCATATAACTAAATAGATAGATAAATAATTTTGTTTTTTATTTAGAGAACAATTTTTAATTGTTTTCCAGTTTTCTAGAAAACTAGAAAATTATTTCTTGTTTTTAAAATAGAAAATTGTGCTAGTACATATTTTTTGTTTTATGTTCTTCAATTCTCCAGTTTTTCCAGAAAACTGGAGATATTTTTCAGTTAGTAAATGGGTAATAATGAGAATGTAAAAATATAATATAATATCAATTTCGGTATTGTAATTTAAGAAGTAGGATACATAGGTATACATACCCATTTCTTCTTCTACTACTCTACTCTCATACTGCCTGCCTGCCTTATCAGCTCTGCCATGAATATAATCATCATATATTCAAACTAAATTAGGGTATGATCAAATTAAATGAAGTTCAGAAATAATTTTTTTCTTTAAAAAAGAAAAAAGAAAAAAGGATAGAGACCTGACATATTGTATTCTCCTCTATGACAACCATGCATGTCTTTGTTTCCACAATCATGTTGGCTTTCTTCAATTTTCTTGGCTGAAGTTACCGCAGAAAGAAGACACCTTCTCAACTTAATTGACTTTAACATTACAATATCTTCAAAGCTTCTTGGGATCTCTACCAAACGAGAGCAATCATATAGGATTAGCCTCTCAAGTTTAGGAAAATTATAATCACTGACCTCCCAACTCTCGAGATCATCGCCACCAAATTTCAAAAAAAAAACTAAGTGGCAAAATCTCTCTTATTTTAGTTCCCACTTTTGGCTTTTGCAGGCCCATCTTTCCAACTTCATCACCTCAAGCCGTGGCAACTTGCTAAGAACCCCTATTTCTTCCCACAAAAAGTTGGTATTGTAAAACGACAACTTCTTAATGTTTTTCAAGAGAGCAATTTGGCCACAAATTGAGTAATTGAAACAACCATGGTAAACATAAATTTTCAATCTCTCGAGTCGTTGTAAATAGGCAAGGTTTCCAATCCGACAACGAACCCAATTGAGAGTACTATTTGAACTACCTCCAACAATGCCTACTTTCTTCACATGTGGAATACTTTTAAATAATTCCTTTGTGCAATGAAAAAGACCCAAATCTGAAATGCTCTCTATGTTTTGATGAACAAACTCTGGAGGATCTAGGCAATTTATTTTGTCACAATGAAAATAGCTTAGATGTGGAAAGTTTAAGTCAAAAGAGGAAATGGAATTGAGTGGGGGAACGGATTCACAAAGTGTTTGAAGATTCCAAGCATTCAACGATTTTGAATTCAGTGGTTTATCTATTGAGGAAGATAGGTACCTGAGATGGATGGGATTGACAAGACGCACAGTTCTATAGACTAATAATGGTTTAGGCTTTGTATCAGTTGTGTACAAAACTCTCAAATGTCTTGAAATTTTGCAAAACCAAACTTGATGGTTGATACTTGCAAATATCAAAGACGGAGCGGCAGGTTTTTGGGTATGAATATAATCTAGAGATGTCAAACTTTGATGATTGGATACTTAGCCAACGGAAACTTTTCTGAGCAAATTCGGTTCCCTTTCCATTGACAACATGTAGAAGGCTTTCGTTTTGAGCTTCTCTCACACAGAAGGCATGCAACACATCGTGCATCCTAAATGTCTTAATTCTTGTCCCATTGGAGCTCGGCTCGCTTAGTAGAATTAGATTTCTATCTATAAGTTCTTTTATGTGCCTTTGAGCCACCATTTCCAAACTCTCATCCTTAGATGCCTTTATAAGTCCTTCAGCACCCCATAGCCTTGCGAGTCTTTTAGCATAAATCTCTTCATCTTCTGAAAAAATTTCCAAATATAAAAAGCAAGCCTTAAAGTTGTGAGGCAAATGGTTGTAACTCAAGGACAGTATTTTCGAGCATGCTTCTACAATAGTTGTTGTAGTTGATGAACCATCAAGAGCATTTGCAACACTTTTCCAATCATCTAGTGTGTTCAGTTTGGAAAATAGCCCCGCAACCACAACAATCGCCAGAGGCAATCCTTTACATTTTTCAACAATGGGTCTTCCAATCATCTCGAATTCAACACCCTGAGACGATACACCCCCCGACAATGCCTTTTCATGAAACAGAGTCCAACTCTCGCTATGATCTAACAAGTTCATTTGGTGAGAAAAGTCATTGCCAGAACTTACACAATTAGCCACCTCCTCAAGCGAGTAGTTAGCAACACTCTACTACCATTCCCATCATCGGGAAAGCAAGCTTTTATAGCATCCCACGACTCTCTGCTCCATACATCATCCATCACAACCAAGTACTTTTGACGCTTCAAACATCTGTAGATTTGCTCTTCTAGTTCCTCATTAATTAAGCTTTCCGCATTGCTTTGTTCCAAAATTGAATTATGAAGACATATGAGCATTTGTCTCTTATCATAAAATTGTAACACAACAACCCATGCTCTCTTGTCAAAGTGGGAACTAATTGATGAATCTTCATAACTTTTCCGTGCTAAAGTTGTCTTACCGATTCCTCCCATACCTTTAATTGTGACAACTTCTCGTTGCTTAGATGGATGTAGGGTAAGCATATCCTTAATACTTTTTAACTCATCATTTTTCCCAACCATTATGCCTTCATAGTGGGAAGCATGTTGGAAGGAATCAAGTGTAGTACTAGTGTTTGTCCCTTGCAGATCTGTGACATCCTTGTACTTGCTCTTCACTTCCACCAACTTTTCTTCGATGGGATTAATGTCTTTTATTGCTCGTTGCAATATAAGATGAAGATGTGACAATAAGGACGTCGTTTTCCTTTGGCTCGATGAAGATTTCTCCGGTCAAGAGGAGTGTTTTCCACATAAAGATCTGCTATGTGAAATTCTATTTCATCTTCTACTCTGAAAGCTACATCTCTAAGCTTTGTTTCCAAGCGTTTAATTGCTTCAACTCCATGGATTCTTTGCACATTATCATCCAACTGTTCCATCAAATTGATAAGCTTTTGGCGGAGTGATCTGATGAGCTCTTCGTTTCCAGAGATGAGTCCTTTGTCTTGTACAATTGGACGTAGTTGAGGTTGCATGAACTCAAGCTCTAATGTCCTTACAAGAGAAGTTACAGCTACACAAGCCATCCTTCTCTCTCTGTATTGTAATTGAAATGTGTTTTTTTTACTCGATCTGATCTCTCTCTTTGTTTGTGTGAGTAATGTAATTGGAACCCTACTTGGTCTGTAAAGGTTAAGTTTCACACTTTCACTGAGATTTAGTATTAATGTATTATTACATGTATTTTGAGTTTATGATGAAAAGCTTAAGAAGCAGGACGGCAGCCGGCCGGCTTCATTCTCCGGCCCTGTCTGTTTGTGATGTAATTAAGACTCTTTCTCACTTTTTCACAGAAATATATTTGATGCATTTTTGTGATGGAGATTGGGAATCTTACAATAAAGACTTGAGGAAAAACAAAACTGTTTTCTAACATCGAGAAGATCTCCACCAAACCCTTGAAGCTAACGAGATAAATATATATAAAGGAAGGGATCAGGTGCGGGTGGTGCCTTTCGTGCGGTTGTGCGGGTAGACTCACATTAAGCATTACACTGGCGTACTTTAAGACGCACATTAAACACACAAACAAAATACATTCAGAACACAAACTCACGCACCTTAAACACAAAATTCACGCACCTTAAGTACACCCTCACGCACCTTAAACACAAAACTCACGCACATTACAACAAAAACACACGCACCTTAAGTTTTAACAACAACTCGCATTAAGTATGCACTCATGCACATTAAGTACAAAACTCACGCATATTAAGCACAAAACTCATGCACTTTAAAGTTTCAATAACAACTCACATTAAATACACACTCGCGCACATTAAACACATAATTGACGCACATTATGCACAAAGCTCATTCACCTTAAGTACAAAACTTACGCACATTAAGCACTACACATTCACGCACATTAAGCACAAACCTCATGCACCTTAAGCACAAGACTCACGCACATTAAATACAAAACTCACGCACATTAAGTACAAAACTTAAGCACAACCGCACGTGAAGCATTCACCTACAATAGAACTTATATATATATATATATATATATATATATATATATATATATATATATATATATATATATATATATATATACCCCGACATCGACCACCCGTATGTTCATGAGCTCGTTTGTAGTCAGGTCAGGATTGAGCGATTCAGGACTCAGACTGCGGGTCCAGACCAAAGCTGACGGGTCAAACCCGGCACCAGGCGTATAAAAGGGCCCTTGGCCCTCTAAGGTAGGGGCTTTTTGGTTCATTCTCCATGATCCCACTCTCTCTCTAAGCATATCTCCCAAAACTCCCCCTGCTCTCTAAAGCAACTGACAAGAACATATACATGAATAAAAGAACCTTTGGATCTATATCATTTGTTCTCTCCTTTGTTCATTGTTCTTATATCTTACATACATGTACATACATCCTACCACTGGCAATTAGTACTATCAAATGGCGCCGTCTGTGGGGGTCGAACCGACGACCACGTGGTTAGTCCGAATAAAGGGCATTGGGAAGAGCATTCCCACGTGTGATCTCGCAAATTGCGTTGCAAGTCCGACCACTAGGTCGGGCGCTCCCTTTTGGTTCACCAGACTGTGCTTAAAGTTATGCTCTTTTTTCTTGGGCTAAATTTTTTTCCACTGGATTTTTATCAGCTTAAGGTTTTTAATGAGGCAACCGGCGCATTTCATAGACCGTATAACTAGTTTTTCCAGCCCGAACCCTTCCTCGTTAGCTCATCGTTAGGGCACGGACTGGAGGGGGGGGGGGGGACTCTTGATAGGATATATACCCCGGCACGACCACCCGTACGTCCATGGGCTCGTATGTAGTCAGGTCAGGATCGAGCGGTTCAGGACTCGGACTGCGGGTCCAGACTAAAGGTGATGAGTCAAACCCGCCACCGAGCGTATAAAAGGGCCCTTGGCCCTCTAAGGTAGGGACTTTTTGGTTAATTCTCCATGATCCCACTCTCTCTCTGAGCATATCTCCCAAAACTTCCCCCTGCTCTCTAAAGCAACTGACAAGAACATACATGAATAAAAGAACCTTTGGATCTATATCATTTGTTCTCTCCTTTGTTCATTGTTCTTATATCTTACATACATGTACATACATCCTACCAATATATCTTATTAGTACTATCAATAAATAAATAAATAAATAAATAAATAAATAAAAAAAAATATATATATATATATATATATATATATATATATATATATCCATACACTACTACAAATAACACTTTTAACGTTGGTTATTTGATGCATACGACGCCAGGTATAAAAAAACTCAGGACATATATTTTTTAAAGTTTTTAAATTTAAACATACGACGTTGATTTTTTTTTTTTAAAGCTAAAAACTGATGTCATATGTTTTATTTAAAAGTTTTTAAAAAATATTCATCAATAAGAAGCTTGGATCATACGTCTCTAACTTCATCAATCTCTTGTTGATTGTAGGGTAATCTCTCAAATCTTTCCAAGGTCTAAAAGTTGAAAATTGATAAATAATCGTCAATAAGCTAGTATTTTCAAAATTTGAAGGAAAAAGATATTTTATTAAATTACTTGCCTTATCCATTCCTTTCAACAAATTCTTGGATATTTTATTAAATTACTTACCTTATCCATGCCTTATCCCCCCTAATTTAGACCCATTACAAGAATTTAAATAGGCTGAAATCTAATTTTTCCACGAATCTGGCCGCACAACGCATTCACAACGCGCGTTGTTGGGTTCGTTAAACTTTAGTCCTCCCCGACAACGCAATGTAAAACACGCATGCGTTGGAATTTTCCCTTTATGTCTTCTGCAAAGTTGTAGCCATTGAAGTTGCCGAACCATAGCCGCTGGAATCAACACATTTGGACACTCCTAGCTCGAGATATGATCATTCTACCGAACTATCACCGGAATGCCCTCAAAATGACAATGTTTTGCTATTTTTCTACAAAGGCAATACAATTAGTCCTTAATCCTAATTTCTATCCGATTAAGCTAGTTAAGCACAAATTAAGCATAAAGGACTCTAATTAAAGCACAATTAGCCTATAAAATAGACTCTAAAACATAGCATATTAGGCGCTTATCACGTAGTCTGAGACCAATGGAATCAAACCAATAAATCTATATACATATAAAGGCCATAGGATTTTGGCCAATCAAATCCTTCCATTTTCCCGCCTAAATTACACGACACCGTTTAGGTTTTTTTTTTTTTTTTTTTTTTTTTTTTTTTTTTCAAATCTATTCAATTTCCCGCCTATTTGAAAATTTTAATTTACTGATTTGGTATTGCCGTATGATTTTAGGCCTGCTGTTTAGGGGTGTGAGCTATTGTGGAGTTAGTATTCTAATGGGTTTCTAGATAGGAAACGTGTGATTTAAGTCTAATTGGTATGGGAGTGATCTAAACTGCAGTGCATAGGTAATATTTTAATATTTTTGCAATTGTCAGACTCTAAGTTTGCTGGTTATATATAGCTACACATTCATGCCTCAAAGCAAAGCAAAACAAAATATTACAACTTTCTTTCATCTGTGTTACCACAAAACGAAGCAAAATATTACAACTTTCAGCTTTCAAAAACCAACATGACTGGGCAGTTCATAGTTGGTGCCCAGCTTCACCCGCAGCAGACTTCTAAGGCCATTAGATTGCGTTGTGTGCGGAGCTATGTTGTCACTTAAAACAGAGCACAAAAACAAATTAGAATTCAAGAGTGTGTGTTTCATGATCAAGAGGTGTGCTATTCCTAGATTACTATCTTCTAATTTTATTGTCTATTGCTAACTGTTTATAAGTACTTATGATATTTTCTTTGTGTATTGAATATAGGGTATTTTTATTCATGTTCACATACCTAAGGATATTGTTGCAACATACCAGAATATGTTCAAGGAGGGTAAAGTCTATGGTATTCGAAATTTCCTATGTATCACTAACTTTTTCAAGTATAAAACAAGCACACATCGTTATATGATCAAATTCAAACATGACACTGTTTTGAAGCAATATCAGCGTGTGAATTTCCCTAAAATAATGTTCCGGTTTAAGAGTTTCCTGGACATACATTCAAAGAAGAATGTTGATGAGAAAGTGTTGATAGGTAAGAGTTTAACTGGATGCATACATATATAATACTCAAATGAAGGAATGCTACTTTGATTATGTTTTCAACCATAGCTATCAAAACTAATATTCTGCTGTTATTTTATGTAGATGTGATTGGCCGAGTTGTTGAAATTTATACACCACTTGACAAAGTGATAGCTGGAAAACAAACAAGGCTTATTGACTTTGTTCTTGAAGACAATGGGTAATTTTTTTTTTTTTGGGTTGGCTATGCTGATGTAAATCTTATTATTAATTCTGTTGGGTATTTAAATTGGTTTCTATTTTCATGCAGTAAAAATTAGATTAAGTGTACATTATGGGATGAGCATGTGGATCAACTAACTCCTTATTTCCACATTGCTGCATCTGATCCAGTCATACTTCTCATTCAACTTTGTAGGGCCAAGTTTATGGACAATAAGTTCTAATCCAGGATGGGTGTGCTTTCTATTTCAAATAATATCCTATCTCCTAATGAGCAAAATTTTTTCTGGTTAGATGGCGAGGTTCGTATTTGCAGCTCCTGTAACACACCCCAAAAACAACAAGACCTAAAAACAAGTCTTAACACATGCAGATTAACAGCAAAACACTAGCACAGCGGAAGATAGAAAGATAACTGGATAAAAGGAATCCAAAACGGGGCGTTATGCCACGTATACCACACTTGGCATACGCTACGGCGACAATCTGCAAGTGTATCACTATCCCCAAAACAACAAACTAGAACAATCTAAAGACATTGGCACACAGGCCTCAAAAACACTGTCTAAAGATACAAGTGCTAAGCTACCGGCTCTAGACATCGCGCTCGACTACGCATCACCTGAAAGATACAAAGATAAACATCGGGGCGACGCCGAGTCAGCGAAAGATGCTGGTAACCCACCAATACCGTTAAGTATCATAAATAGGTATTTTTGAAACGGAATACATATATATAAGTCAAAAGCCAAGATCAAAAGACAACACAAGACTCACCACTCACAAGGATAACACCGGAACACGTCCCAACCACAAAGGTTAACCACACACAAGGATAAAGACTCACCCAACGGCAAAACATGCCAAAACACCACAAGACTCCGTGACTACACACGTCAAGAGAGAAGATCACACAACAACGGCTTCACAAGCCCTCGTGACATCACACATCACGAGTTGATATGCCTTCCTTATGCCCTGTTCCAACCTTATGGCTACCCCCAACCTTGTACCTTCAAAGCCAACCATTACCTCCAGAAAACCCCTGTACAGCCAAGTCCAACCTTATTCCGCCGGGACCGTCGTCTCCCACCTATAACCACCAACGAAAACCCACCAATTCACGGCAACACATGCCTGGATAACACAATGTTATCCCCCAAACACGTGGACTCAGCCACAACTCCATAATCACGTCACGGCCACCACGAGGACCGCTGCAATACCTTGGTGACTAGCGTCCCATACCACTAATCGTGCAATCCAGGTAGAGCCACACACGCACCACCACTCACACGAAACAAGCAACGGATTGCAAAAGAGGTATGAAACATACTCAATCAAAAGACGGGTCATCACCCAACGACAACAACGACGCTAGCATTAAGATAATAACTAGCAAGCTCAACAACGGGGAAACTCAAGATAGTTCCGAGGAACACACAAGACACCACACGGTTCAACGAAACACAATGTTGAACACTTAGCACGATTCACAACACCAAAGATCCTACATGGATACCTACCATAAAGCTCTAGACCTACGAAACATCAAGAAGACGCTCAAATAGTTCCACAAAAGAACATCGGGAGGCCAAAAGATCAAAGACCGAGATAACAAATCACGGGGAACAAATCCCATCACAACACCAACCATGTATCCGCGGGTGGACCCACGGGTAGCGCCCCACCCGTGGTTCCGCCCGCGGGAACATATTCCCACAGGCTATGTACCCGCGGGTAGGCCGGCGGGTGGTGCCCCGCCCGCCGTTCCGCCCGCGGGTACGTCCCTGTACCACAACAAATCCCTTCAGGGATTTTCTCCTCCAAACACAAATTCAAGTCCAAAACATGCCAAATCTCACCAAACACAACAAAATGACTTGAACCAAGGAAAATGCCAAGCAATGGCACAAAGGAATCCTAAACACAAGCTCTAGATATGCAATATCACAAGATAAATGCATAAACTCTCACATTTCATAGCATAACACATGTAGAAGCCAAGAAATCACATATAGGTAAGCAAAATAGGTTTTGTAGAGCATGGGTTACCTCTTGAAGACCAAAAGACTCTTCTTACACGGCAACAAGCTCTCCACTAAGCTCACTAGCCAAACCCACTTCAAGATCAAACCAAAAGATCATAAAGATCCAACCTTTAAGAAAAAGACAACCAAGATGGAACCAGAAAGACTATACAAGCTTAGATCTTACCCTTCTAGATGCCAAAATAGAGGAAAGATTGAATCCTGGGAGCAAAACTTGGAATCTTGACAAAGGCTTCTTTTGGCTTGAAGAACAAGCTACTCTTCTATTCTAGAGAGAAGGTAGAGATATTTTCTAGGAAATGTATGGGATGAAAAATGAAGAAGTCTTCTAGGTTTAGGTTACAAAACTAGCTCTTGGTGAAAAGACAAGGATACCCTTACTAACTCTTAGAAAGTGTAAGGAACAAGGGAACTCCTCTCAAAGCACAAGGTACAACACCACTTAAAGATTGACTAGTCAAATACTAGTCCTTGAGTATAAAAAAATCAGGATTTTAGGAATCAATTCCTCAAAGGAAATAGAATTAATTACTCAATTAATTCATGGTTTGGAGTGTGGATTTTTGGGGTGTCACATCCTCTCCCCCTTCAAAGAAGTTTCATCCCCGAAACTTGGGTACAACGAATTAAGAACGAAAGGTAACAAGGAAACAAAATTGTGACAAGATGTCCAAGAATATCCCTTTTGGTCAAAAGTTCCAAAAGTTCTCACAAGGTTCCAAGGCAAAGAGAAAGACATTACGAATTCAAGGATAGGCAAGAGGTCAACAAACGGATAGATTGGGCATCAAGAACTCTAACCTCAACACAACAACCAACTTCTAGCCTACAACCAAGAACTAAACTACTAACTCAAACACCAACTAACACACTAGCTAAACAACAAGGCAACAAACAAAACAAGCAAGCACACAAAGCACACAACAACCAAACACCAAGCTACAAAGGCTAAGAAACAACAAAGAAAGAAGCGAACGGGGTTACCACAACACGACTAGAACTCTTCACTCTCCGACTCTTCGGCCTCTTCAGACTCTTCTTCTTCGGCTTCAACTCTGTGACTAGAACTAGCTTCAAACCGATCCAGCCTCTGATGCACTGCGGCAAACTGTGACCTCACAAACGCAAAACCCTCGGCGATCAAACTGTTCTGCTGACGAAGCAAAGAGGCGACATCATGCCCTCTCTTGGTGCGAACTTCTTCCCTTCTACGGCGTTCCTCACCGTCTGATTCACTTACTTCAGCTTCAGCGGTCTCCGGTGCTCCTTCCTCTTCTTCGTGATCTGCTTCCTCCTCAACTTCTTCGTCACCACCCAAACTCTGGACTGCAAGGCTCAACTTCCTGGCATGAATCTCAAGCCCAGCAGCTAACTCTGCTCTCTTAACAGGTGCTTTCCTAGCAACCTCTTCAAGCTTGATGTACTCACCACTATCCAACTGAAAAAGATTACAACTCCAGAGATTGGCGGTATCCAACACCATCTTTCCCACAGCCTTCGAGGGACAACCATCCACACTAACACCTTTCTTAACCAAGATCCAACTTAACACCATGCCATACGGCAAACTCTTCCGGTTGTGATCCCGGCAAAACACCATGTGTTGCATCATCAAAGCAGGCAGATTGAACTTAACCATATTATTCAAACAGAAAGCAAAGGTACATTCCAACTTACCCAACAAACTGCTCTTGTTGTTGTTAGGCAACAAACAATCTGACACCAACATCACCAAGATCCTTTGTTCCGCAGACAACCACTTCTTTTCCGGCCTCGAAGCTTGAGTGAAACCACTCGTACGGCCAAACAGATAGCTCAAATAGTCACGGTACCCCATGGTATCCGTACTAATCCAAGAATGGCCACTGTACTGAGCCACTCCGGTAGTAGACAAACTCAACAACTGGGCTAACCTCTTCTCAGACAACACAACCTTCACACCTCTCACCTTAGAGGTGATCTTAAGCCTTTCACCTTCCTTCGTCACAACCTTGTGACGGTAAAACTCCTTCACCAAACTCGGGTAAGTCTCGGCCCTTATGGTGAGAAAACCATCTAGCAAACCTTGAAACTTAAGCAAATCCAACAAGGAACTTGAAAAAGATTCTGGGTCAAAAGCTTTACCTTCAAGCACAAGGTAGTGGGCATCCACCCATTCCGCTTTTCTTGCCAAACTTGACCTTCTAGGCATGGTGAAAGATGATCCAAAGCTCAACAAACAAAGCCCACAACTTCTTCTTCTTCTACCACACTCTCGCGGCTCTCCCTCTCTCGCTGCTCTCTCTCTCTCTCGCGGCTGCTCGGCGGCACGAC